GGCCAGGCTCCCGTGGGAGGAGGTGCTGGTGTGGGTGCTGGGAGCTGTGTCAGTGCAGGCAGCGAGCGGAGGCAGAGGAGCTGCGGCGGCAGCTGGAGGCCAACAGCTCGGCCCTCACCCGCACGCTGCGGGACGAGTACGCCAAGGAGAAGGAGGACCAGGAGAGGCGGCACCAGGTCTGGTTTTCCCTCACCTCCAGCCCTTCGGGTGCTGGCACCACCAAGCCTTGGACCCCACAGCCCCAGCAGCTGCTGCCAGCCAGCACAGGAGGGTCCCAGGGCTGAGCTGTTGTTTTCCCTTCTCCTCACAGGCAGAGCTGAAGGTGCTGAAGGACCAGCTGGAGCTGGAGAAGCAGGCCTGGGAGGCCAACTATGTGAAGAAGGAGGTAATGGCAAGAGCCCCAAAGGTTCCACCCATGGGCTCTGAGAGGAATTTGAGGCCATGTTTGCTGTCTTCATTCCAGGAAGCCTGGCTGCTCTCTCGGGAGCGGGAGCTGCGGGAGGAGATGAGGAAGGAGAGGGACAAAGAGATCGAGCTGGTGATCCAGCGCCTGGAGGCCGACACGTCCTTGGCCAAGGAGGAGTGCGAGAGGGCAGCGGAGAACAGGTGAGGGGGAAAGGGAGGAGGGAGGTCCCAGGTCCTCCAGGGGCTGGTCCCTTTTCCCTGTCCCCTGGGCGTCTCTCCAGTGAGCTCTGGAGCAATGTTAGTGCAGGAAGGAAAGAGCCTTGGATCTCCTGTGGGGCAGCTCTGCCCTTGCTGCTGCGCCCTGCTCCCTCCTGCAGCAGGAATGGGGCTGGGATGAGCCAGGCAGCAGCAGGATAAGCCAGGCTACCTGTCCATCCTGCCCACAGGATCAAGAGGATCCGAGACAAGTACGAGGTGGAGCTGCAGGAGCTGGAGCAGTCGGAGCGGAAGCTGCAGGAGCACTGCAATGAGCTGAAGGGGCGGCTGGCCGAGCTGGAAGGGGAGAGCATGCGGCTGCAGGGCCTGCTGAAGCACAAGGAGCAGGAGGTGAAGGAGATCCGGAAGGTGAGCGAGGAGCAGAGCCAGGGCCCTGCCTGCATGTGTGGGACCAGCTGTCCCAGGGGCACAGAGACCTGACCGAGGTGATCTGGCAGGAATTTGCGGACAGGCTGGTGGGGATGGAGGTGGAGAACGCGCGGCTGAAGGCAGAGATGGCGGAGCTGAGGGCCCGGCAGCACCTGGAGCTGGACAGGCTGGTGCAGGAGAAGGACCGGGAGCTGGAGGAGGTTCACAGGAGGTGAGGGAGCCCAGGTGTGGTGCGGGAGCTCAGTGCTGCATCCTCAGGAACAACTTCCAGCCTGTCCAGGCAAACTGGGCAGAGGAGTCTTGCCAAAGCTGGCTGCTGCTCAGCCACCCTGAATCCTCTGTCCCTTGTCACTGCTGGCCTGCTCTGTGCCATCCTGTCCCCAGGGCTGCTCCTGGGCATGCAGTGCCAGGAGAGGCCAGCGGAGCACAGCTCTGCGCTCCTCCCTGGCAGGAGCCCTGCCAGGATCACTGTCACCACCACTGTCACCTGCTGGGGCTCTCCGAGGCTCACACACGATACCTGTGACTGCAGCCATGTGCTCTTCTCCAGAGGGGCAGGGCCCAGGGTCAGGGCACAGCCACGGAGGCTGAGGGCAGCTGGGACATCCCCAGAGTGCTGTGCTAATTAAATCTTAGGAAGATAATGTGTCTTTCTTCCTGTAGACAAGTCAGTCCACACTACACAGCACCCACCAGTGGAATAATGCCAGTGTGTGATGGCACCTGGAGCCCAGCTTTGGCTGGGGTAGAGGGGCTGAGCTCCTGGGGCTGAAATCCCCACCCTGGGGCAGGGCCCAGCCCCGTGTTGGGCACCGGGGAGCTCATCCCCCCATGTCCGTGTCAGGGTGAAGGCGGCGGTGCTGAGGAAGGAGGAGAGCATGAGCAGCCTGCGGAAGCAGTACGAGGTGAGCGAGGGCTCCGTGGCCCTGCCCTGGCTGTGGCTGGGCAGGGCCCTGTGAGCTCCCCGTGGGCTGTGCTCCCTTGCAGGCAGCCGTGCAGAGAGCCAACCTCCTGGAATCGCTGCTGGAGCAGCAGCGGCAGCTGGCCGCCGAGTGACCGTCCTGCCGGCCAGGGAGCGGGGCTGGGCCTCCCCTCCCTCCTCCCTTCTTCTCCACAGCCTGCTCCCAGCGCCGTGCTGGGACACTTGGTGGCCTTTAGATGTTTGGGAGTTTTGTTCTGATAATAAATCTCTGCTGGTTTCTACAACTGTTTCTAAACTTGTGTTTATGTACAGTGCCAGGCCACGGGTGGCTGTTCCCCGAGGTCTGTGCCCAGTGACACCTTCCCAACACCATTCCTGCATCCCAACACCCTCCCTGTGCCCCAAACCCCAACCTAGCTTCCCATTCTAAACTGCCATGTCCCGTACAATGCAGGGAGGCAGAGCCAGGGGAGGATGTGATGCCACAGCTTCTGCTACCTGCAGACTCCTCTCCACCCCCCGACAGGACCGGGAAATGCCTGGGCTGGGCCGGTGGCATCTGTTTCCTCTCGGCCGGGAGCGTGTGGCTGCTCTGCTCCCTCCCCCGGGCCGGGGCTCGGAGCAGGGGCCGGCAGATGTTTTCTCAGCAGAGTCCCTGGGTTTCCCATCCGTCCTGCTGCTCCCTGAGCTCGGCTGGATCCTCCCCGTGCCCCATGGCAGCACCGCCAGAGCCCCCGCGGTCCCACGGAGCCGCAGAGGGACCCTTTGTCACCCCAGGAAGCTGCGCAGGGGCTCGGCCACTTCCCGACACTGGCGCTTGTCCAGCGAGGGCTCCAGGCTGCGGCTCCCGGGGGCGGTGTGATGCCAAGAAAGCCCGTGGGTGATGGCCCGGATCCCTGCCCGTGCTTTGGCACTTGATCTGGGGCACGAGCAGCCCCCCAGCTGCGGGGCCGGGCACAGAGGGTGGCTGTGACCCGCACAGCGGAGCCGTGCCCGCTCCCCCTCCCCGCTGCGGCCAGGCTGGAGAGCTCATCCCGGTTCCAAGGAGTTTCCTGAGCGCCGCTTCCGAACCCGCCCTGCGCGGCCTCCCCGAGCCCCCGGCTCCGGGAAATCCGGCCTGGGACGAGGGGGCTCAGCCC